AAACCAAGAAAGTAAAAGAAAACCCTCTTCCCTGACCTTCCTTCTTTAATTTTTGTTTTCTGATTTTCATTTTGCAGTTCTTCGGTTAGATTTTGTAAACTGTAAACACTGGCATTGGTGGTGTAATGGTTAGCATTCTACAGACGGGAATTCGATTCTCACACAGGGAAGCGAAGTCTTTAAAGAATGTCTGTATCTTTCTGCTTGGCTGCATCCAACACGGCCTGGCTGGTATTACAGAGGTAAGAAAAAGACCTAAATTGTGTCAAAGAAGGTGTTAAATGACAATATAACAACAAATTCAGTCGTTTCCACATGGTGATATCAGTGCCTTCACAACGAATTCTTAACGTGGAAAACTAATCACACAAGTTTCAGTTTTAGTAAGAGTTTTACAGTGCTTGCAACACAAATTGGTCATGTAAGTGCCGAAGATTAGAGGAATTACTAGAGAGTAACATACAAAGAAAAGAAGAAGGGGTGATAAAGAAGCTAGATGTTGGAGAGGAAAGAAGGAAAAAAACCACACCAGAGTACCTGACAACCAGCACTACATCTTGCGAACTCGAGAAAAAACTTTAAGAGAAAACAACTCCGACCAACCAAAAGTAACAAATGTTCATTGTTTTATTCTAGAGCAACCACTAGGAACAAAAATTAAGAGGAGTTCAGGAAAGGAACAGCAAACTTGTACACATTTCATCATTTGCTGTTCCCAAAGGAATTTAAAGAAAGTCTATCAAAGCGAGGATCATCCAAAAAAAAAATCAATTTGATTTAAAATATTATCAAGCAAATTTACACAACAGCAAGAAATAACAATCAATTAAACTGAATTACTTATAGATTATTAATAAAAAATTAAATTACTTAATTACTGAGGCATAAGGTACTGACAATGGAAATCAGTTCAGAGAACCAAATAGAGAAAAAGTTTGCATCAACTTTTGCATAGACATGTCCATGACAGCGGTTTTGATGGAACTTTTTTTTCTTCAAACTTAAAAAAAAGATGATTATTTCCCAAGAATACAATTGAATTTTTGTTCCTACAATGAACTGATTTTTAGACTGGAGAGTGTCTGGGTAATATGTGAGTGCTTGTGTGTGTGTGCGTGTGAGTGTGTGTGTGTGTATGTGTGTGTATGTGTGTGTGTGTGTGTGTGAGTGAGTGTGAGTGTGTGTGCGCATGTGTAAAGGGGAAGAATATGTTTGATTGCACACAAGTCTGCATGTGAGGTGGTAAAATACTTAGGCTTATATTAATGGTAGGCCCTACATGCTTTTGTCTGTGTGTGTGCATGTGTGTGTGTGCATGTGTTTGAGTGTGTGTGTGTGTCTCTGTGCGTGTGTGTGCATGTGTTTGAGTGTGTGTGTGTGTGTGTATGTGTGTGTGTGTGTGTGTATGTGTGTGTGTGTGTGTGTGTGTGTGTGTGTGTGTGTGTGTGTGTGTGTGTGTGTGTGTGTATGTGTGTGTGTGTGTGTGTGCGCGTGTGTGCATGCCTGCACGTGAGCCCATACTGAAATAGTTAATGAGTGCACTTGTAACACAAACCCTTCCAAACAGAACAATCACAAAAACCTCGGATCATACTAACAGAGAACAAATACATGCACAGGTATTGTTCAGAGTATTCAAAATTTGAGACACTCAGTCACTTAAAAGTGTAATCAATCAAACAGTAAGAGTTTGCATATCAAATCAAGACTATAAAAGAGGGGGGATGGGGGACAAAAAGTCATTCATGTACAGACATAACAAGCAGAGAATTTTTATTCATCTATATCGATGATTTGATCACAGCCACGGGAGAGTGCAGACGGCTACAACAAAGACTGCGGACCAAACATCGGAGCACTCAGCTGAGTTATGCTATCCCACCATCCAGCAGGAGAACAAAACCCACAGAGACGACTGTGTGTTTTAGTAAGAGTTTTACCACACTTGTAACACAATAAGGTCATACAAGTGTCGAAGACTAGAGGTGTTACAAAAGTAACACAAACAAACAAAAAAAGGAAGAGAGATAAGGAAGATAGATGGTTTGACAGGAACGAAGGAGCAAACCCCACCAGAGCACCTGCCAACCACCCACTTCCCACTATCCTTGCTTTTGTTTTAGTAGAGGTTTTACAGCGCTGGCAACTGCATTCCCACTATCCTTGCTTTTGTTTTAGTAGAGGTTTTACAGCGCTGGCAACTGCATTCCCACTATCCTTGCTTTTGTTTTAGTAGAGGTTTTACAGCGCTGGCAACTGCATTCCCACTATCCTTGCTTTTGTTTTAGTAGAGGTTTTACAGCGCTGGCAACTGCATTCCCACTATCCTTGCTTTTGTTTTAGTAGAGGTTTTACAGCGCTGGCAACTGCATTCCCACTATCCTTGCTTTTGTTTTAGTAGAGGTTTTACAGCGCTGGCAACTGCATTCCCACTATCCAGCACGAGAAGAATAACCAAAAGAGAAGTAACCAAGCCAGTGTGATAGCATAAGACAGCAGTGTGACCCGAGGGAGCCAGAGTCCCGTTCCTTTGTCGATGTGTCGAGTCACGGAATCAGACGAAAACAACATAGAAATCCATCTTTGAATTCACAGCCATACAATCAAAGAGGTACACACATTTGTCACTTCTAATATTTCACAACATATACTAAAAACTTAATTAGTGTCTTCACTAAAGTACTTGTGCATCTCTTAAACTTGAGTACATTAAAATAACTGCTTACATAAACAAGTGAATTTTGATAAAGGACCAAATGAGGAAATGTGGGGAATAATCAGTCTCCCTGATAAAAAAATGTTCCAAGGCTACATTTTTATAGAAGAAACAACTCCAGTCTGGAATTCTGAGCTTACAAGAAACACAATAAAAATGATCACTTATAATATATGATACTACATACTTATATATTTATGCTGTTCTAATTCGACTAAAGATATTGAAACATAAAGGCCTATATTTCTAAAGGTATTAACAGCTCATATAATACAGTCTAGCCCAGCTTTAAAGACTTCACTTCACAAACTGCTCAATACATTCGAAGATAGGAGGCAAAATGTTTCATACTGCAGGATACCGTGCAGGTTTACTGTGCAGCTGGTCATCCACAATCCCTTTAACTTTCAAAGATTTTATAGAATTCTTAAAGCCGCTCAAGATGTGAAAACGCTACATTATGTTGACTGTACATCTGGCTCATACAACTTGTGCATAATGACAAAAACATAAACATATGCACTTGAGTTCCAAATCAACATGGGAATACAGTAAAATGAAAGTCATGGGTTCATACTGAAATAAAAAATAGCAACACAAAAAAGGGTGTAAATTTACAAAACTCCAGACCAGCAAATACACATGGATGTATGCTACAGATAAAAAGTTAAGAAACATATTCAGCACCGTCCTATCCATGACGTTGAAATAAATACCCATACATAACAAATGAGAAGTACAAAATACCACACTCTTCCTCCCTTGTTGGGGAAAGCAAACAGGACTCACATGCAAGCAACCAGGTTGAGATCTGGTGTCAACAAAGCTTAACCCCTTCATGAACACCATTTCATTTTTTATTTTTTTTTAGTGGCAAAGAGGCAAGATGCTGCTATGATGAATAGCGTTCATCATGTCTTGCCATGCGCAAGGACCATAACGATGAGTTCTAATCTATTCATCATATCTTGCATTCACCTAACTGTTTCTATTAGATGTGCCTTGTAAAACTAACACAAGCATCAAATTCAGTGGTACTATTTCCGTCCAAAGAAATCTTTCGCTTTTAGACACACTTTGTCATAATTAAAAGCCAGATTTAATTACAGGCAACTGATCTCTGAAACGAAATGTCATCCTTTCTCTTTGGGGATGCAAAAATTGTACTTGGTGAAGCACAAATGGACCCAGCGTCACAAAGGGGTACACGGCACCACAAACAAACCAGTGCGGAAAGTGTACTGAATATACATGTATCAAAAGGTGAGGAGTTGGAAAAGATCAAAAAGAGTTTTTAAAATATCAAACAGAGCATGGCAAAGTAGGAGTAGGAGCCATAAGGAAAGTGTGATGGGAGGAAGGATAAGGGGTGGGGTGGGTGGAGGGGAATCTAGACACAGATGCTTCGCAAGAAGGACAACTGTACAAAAAGCAGATCCTGAGAAGGCCAAGTGAAAATACACACTTAAAACAATACAAGGGAGAGTATTAGCTTCATGTCTTTTTCAACACAGAAAAAAAAAGAAAAGGCTGGCTGTCACACTCTTCAAAAACAGTAGAAAGAGCAGAGCCTGTGTGCTTGAAGAAACTAAATAAAAGAGTGGAGCTATCTAGCAGTAGTCGACCTGAAGTGTTAACAACATAAGTAGAGAGGAAGGGCATCGCCCCATCATAGCAGAAGACTGGCACTTTAAATAAGGGGGGGGGGGGATGGACTTGAGACAGTGAGTGAAATATGAATAGCAACTCTATGTAAAGTAAAAGAAAGAAGCAAGACACAAAGTGAAACCTGGCACTGATAGGGAAGACAAAGGGGGGATAAGGAAGGGGAAGGATGTACAGTGACACTGGGAATAAAACCTCTATTTTTATCAATGGGGCCAGCAGTCATACGGAACTTCTATGAAGCCTCTAAAAGCGTGACAGACATCTTGCAACAGTGCAAGAAGCTAAGTCTGGAGATGACAACACAAAAGAAAAAAAAAGGAGATCACAGGAATCAAATAGTCCTCTAGCACTTCTACAGCAAAATAGGAAGCCTCAATATCATACAAATCAAGTACTCTCAGACTTCTGATGAGAAAATTCAAACCCCGGTATAAAAAAAACATCACCCTCTAGCATTGCTACATCAGCAAAAAAAGCGCAGACACTAGAAGAGAAAATGATTTTATCGCTTTGTTGTAAAAGAAAAAAAAAGCATTCATATCGAAATGGAAAGCAATCTTCTCCCATTGCTGTAATAGTAAAAAAACAACAACATTGACATCAAAAGGGAAAGCAATTTTTTCCCATTTAAAATAGGTTATAAAAGTAAGAGCTGGATTTTTCAATATTTCAGGGTGATCTAGCATTGCTGTACCAATACCAGAAACAAAGTGGGGACACCATATCAGTAAGTCTTCACACATTGCCATGGCCTGGACTTTAAAATATATCTCTTTTGTCAATCACCATCGCTGCTACAATAAAGAATATGAAACACAATTCCAGCCAATAACTATCCACACTTGTAATGACAACTCAACATACCATATTCTTCACCTCACAGCTCAAAAAAAATAAATATCCGTCTTATTCAAAATGTTCCATTTGGGCCAAACAAAGATCTGACACCACATATTTACCATGAAATGACTCATCTGCTGTCAGAATGTTACAATAATATAAACTATGTGAACAATGCAATGTGTGTGTGTGTGCACACTGACACATTTTATGAAAAAAAATTAAACATGTTTTATATAATGTAATAAATAATTACAATCACTCAGTTTTAAAGGCAATACTACTCCCCTGATAAGGTCAATCAATTAAAAAAAGGGAGAAGGGGACAACAAGTTGAGGAGTCCGAAGGATTTGCGTAGTAAAGAAGAATCGTTCAGAAACAGTTGAATAACAAAAAAATGTGTTCAGAAATTCAACCACTAAAGGTTCGCACAATTTCTCAAACATCAGCCTGCTAGTCAATATGAGATAAATATTGAAATTAAAGAAACCAACAATTGCAGAGAACATATTCTAGGCCATCTCAGTGAGGTTACCGTCTCATCACATCCCATGAACACAGACATAATATTATAATAATTAAGAACGAACTGTGCATGCTGACAGCATGTTGACAAGAAAAAGTAGTGGGCAGTGTGTATATATTCATGTAAATTCACATTCTGAAGAAAAATCTGTGAGACTTTTATTCTCTACTTTCATAAAAGTGGGTGGGGGGGCTCGTAACAATGAAATCTCACAAATCCATCACCACAATTTCACCCTTGGCCGTCAGTGGCTCTCTTAGATCTGTTCGTTTACCACTTTTTTACAAAATTTTCTGACTATCTCATTATATACAGCTTGGATTCTTTAAATACAATGGAATTGCCTTCAAAAAGAGAAAAATATCACATAAAAAAATGCCCATAGATTAATGTTTTCAGTCAGGAAAGATTACAATGGCATCAAAGTTTCTTATGCTTCCCTCTGAAAAGTTGACTAAACTTTATGATCTTTCCCTCATCTGTTTAGTAAAATTCTGGGACAGGCAGTAATTTATTCAAAGTATTAAATAAAATATCGAAGCCCAGAACATTCAGAAATTCATTCCAGTAAACCGAAATCACATGTAAAATGTATTCAGTATTCACAGAAATGAACAAAATGTGACCTGCAATGAGTTCTGTTTGTTCAGCAAAATTAACAAAGACATCCTGACCGCTAACATTTATTAACCGCTGATATAGAAAAAAAATTAAAAAATTGTTGGACATCATAACGGCAAACAACAGATAAAATGTTCTGTGAGTAGAAAGAGTTACGCCTCAGACTCACTCTCTTCCTCATCCTCTCCTGCCCCATCTCCCAACTGGATGGGACTGGTGGGCTCGGACGACTTGGTGGACATGGGCGAGGCCGGGGAGTTGGGCTCGTCCACAGAGCTCAGGATCAGGAAGCGTCCGTCGGGGCTGAGAGGGAGGCCTGAGGCGGGCCGGTCGTCGGTGTCCTGATGCATGTTGTCTGTGTTGTCCTCCCTCAGGGTGATCGAATTGTCGGCCTCGTCCGAGAGACTCTGGATGTTCTGGAGCAGGATGGACTGTGTGAAGAGACAAAATGTCAGCTATTGTTAGTCCTGCTCTAGAGTGGTTGAATTTTTGAACCCGTTTTTAAGTTAATCATCTGTTTCTTCCCTACTAGGCAAATCCTTCGGACTCCTCAACTTGTAGTCCCTTTCACGCCCATGAATACAGACAAAAATTGGTGCTCATATGACCTTATGCAGTTGCGAGCGCCGTAAAACCCTCTCCTATAAAAAAAAAAAAAGACATAACATTATCATCTTCACACTAATAATAATAGATAGCATTTGTATAGCGCATATCCCCGCTCAACAGCAGGCTCTATGCGCTTTACACTACTGTCCATGCTGCAAAAATGTTGACCAGAGAAGGTAGTGAGCAATGTGTATGTACACAGAAGATAACATCACATTCTGAGGAAAGCTATTTTTATTCTCCTCTCCTCTTCCATTAAAGGGTGGAGTGTGGGGGGTAATCACCATACATTTCATCACACCTCACACTCAATCTAAAACCATTTTTTTCTGGGAAGGATTCTTCGCTCAGCCAGGAACGGCTTTAGGAAATTTATGTCAGTCTCTTTTCCTCAGTTCCCCCAGGTGTGAATTTAGCAACCAGTAGAGAAGGTATAATTACCTGCTGGGATGTTAATTGGAATGTACTGGTCTGCTTAGTAAGTGCATTATTGTGAAGTTGTATGAACTGTCCATCAGAGAGAATAAATGTCAATTAAAAAATAAAAATTCAATATAATTTTTAAGTCTGTGGGTGAGCAATCCTTTAACAGCTCTGGAGGAGCCTCATCATCAGTTAAGAGACATTCCCTGAAATCTCGTAAAATGTAACAAAATAAAAGAGAGAAGATTTTTATTCATTTTAACTCAAATTGACAGAGGTGGACAGCATATTTGTTTCCATAAGGACACCAGAAAGACAGGAGAGATAAAAACTTGTGAGTGTGTGTGTGTGTGTGTGGGGGGAGAAAATATAAAAAACAGAACCACATTCGTGGGTGTAGAGGAAAACTATTCCAAGTGACACGTCCAAACCGAAATGGAGATTTTTTAATGGCCTTTACTACTTCCAAGGGACGCAACTTGTGTTAAAACGTCAGAGCTGTGTCTTTAAAATTGACTGAGTCACAACCCAAAGATAAATTATTCTATCTCCTACTTGAGAAAACATTTTGAGGAAAAGTATTATCTGTTGCAGTTAAAATACTTTGCCACTTAAAAAATTGCTACCTGTGGTAGAAAATGAAAAAAAATATTGTAAAAGCGTAAGTAAGCATACTTTTCTTCTCAAATGGTTCTGCCAAGAACTATTCTATCTGCCCCATAAAATACCTTTCCTCCGCTCTTTCGAGAAATCCGATGGAATACTGTTCTGTGCAGCAGGTACAATAGTTTTCCTCACATTTTTGTTCAGAAGAAAAGTATTTTAAAAGACATTTTGATTTATCGAGAATGGAAGAAATTGATTAGAAAACGATTTACAAAATGAGCCCGTGTTTGTTTTTTCTACATTACATGTGAGTTTCGGATCCTAGAATTGCGTTCTGTTGAAATGAGAAAGTTTTTCCTTTTCCTGTAAAATCTGCAAAATGTCACTTAGAATAGTTCTCCTCTAGACCCGCGAGATGGATGCAAAGAGACAGCTTATCACCTCAATATTTATACAAATATATCTGACACACTTCCTTCTTTGAGTAGTACTAATCAACACTATAATTTTCATTGAGAGCCAAGAAAAAGCATGGCTCCATAAAGCAACAAGAGAAAATTCTTGTTAACTCTTCAATCCCAGAATTATTTTTCACGTTTTGATGGAATTTTTTCCAGATCTTGTGAAACACGTAAAGGAGGATACACGCAAAATATTCCTAAAATGACTAAAACTGTGTCAAAGTGAAAGAGGAAGTAGTTTATACATTTATCTAACACTTCTGAGTCAAAATAAATCTATTTGGATTCGTAAGAGACTGCCATAGCAGTAATGCTTAAAGCACCCTGACATCCAACCGGATGCTGGCACCGTCCACTTGGGGACCGGACGAGTTTCACTGGGTTCTCCCATCGTTCACCTGGGGTTATAGAGCTAAATTGCAGTTTCCAGAGAGACAGAACTCTAACACCCACTTTTTGCCAGAAACAGATAAAGACAGTGATATCGGAAGAGAATAGAAGGAGCAGATCACACTCTGCAACAACTCCCTCATCTCCCTGACACCCCTGAAACAAATAAATGAAACACTTCCAAAGAGAAAGAGCAAATCAAAGAATAAACATCCGACTCGAACACCCATGCTGTAATGTAACATTGAAGAGACAAACACATGCACTACAAATCAACATCATGTCAATATCAAAACCAACAAATTTTAGCAGAGCCCTTGCAACACTTAACCACACAGTTACCTTTTCATCAGTCTGTGGCTTTGGCTTAGGAGTTGTTGCTCCTGTCGTGCCCCCCTTTCGCTTCTCCTTGGAAAATTTTAAAAAAAAGAAAGAAAAAAAAAATGAAATCAAAGTAAACAGCGCAAAAGCCTAACAATCATGAACTATCAGAAAATCAAACAGCACTGGCACATAAAATCTATCCTAAGCAAGCGGGACACTGACGGCAAAACCATAGAATAAAGAATAAATCAATGGTAGCAAATCTCTCCACGCTGTATTCAAATTTCCAATGACAAGACAAACAGAGATACCTTGAAAAAAACAAGAACGAACAAAACAGGTTTTTTTTTTACACCCTTATCAATGCTCTACCACGAACAAAGCAGGCTCATATCCTGCACATCAGAGTCAAAAAGCGGAGAGAGGGACACAACATCCCAGGAGAAAGATGAAGATACTTTCTTTAAATTCTCCCCACACGGGAATCGAGCTAAGGAATTTTGCATACAATGGCAAAGTGCCTATCCACTGCACCACAGTGATGGCAAAGTGTCTAACCACTACACCACAAATGCTGGTCTTAAAATCTTTAAAACATGGCTTGTTACGGAAGTTTCATTGCTGCGAGACAAACACAGTGATGTGAAACCTAACCACAGAGAGATGTGTGGTCTATTCCATGCTTCTCATTTGGTCTTACTACATACATAGTTTTGCCACATGAAAATGGTGCTGTTCCACGCACAGCTAAAAGTTTGATAAGACACACCATTCTATGGGATTTAATCCCATTGATTTTTAAACACTGAATAAGGTTGTTGCAAAATCTTCTTCTTGAGGCCTGCTTAATGTGGGGGAGGAGCATGAGCATTGATAATTTTAAGAGCAGTTCCAAGTTCATGGATGCCCAGAAGGAATTTGAAACAGCTATTTGCTTTTTTGTTTTTCCGAAAGAGTCAAGAGAAGCACATCGACACAATAACGGTCATTTAGTGTTGGGAAAAAGGAAGACAGAGAGACAGAAAAAAAAGAGGGAAGTCAAAGAAAAGGGACCTACCAGTGGTGCCCGCCCATCCCCCACTCACTTATTTGCATGGCAGTCCAGATAAAATAAACAAAGGACATGCCCCCAGAAATGGCTTACGGGCTGTGTACACATAAACTATGGGAATGCACACGATACATAAGAGCCTGTTAGTGGATGCAAAAGGGTGCAAAGCATTGATAATTTTTGTGACACACGCTGCCACTGGCATTTTATATCACATACTGGCCTGATTAACCTTATGCTTCAAAGTCAAAGGACACAATATTTTGACAGATACAGAATAAATGGTATTGTTTTAGTAAGTGTTTTACGGCACCTTCAACACAATAAGGTCATATAAGTGCCGAAGATTAGAGGTGTTACAAGGGAGTAACAAACATAAAAAAGGAGGAGAGATAAGGATGATAGATGTTTGATTGGACAGAAGAAGCAAACTACACTTGAGCACCCGCCAACTATCAACAGAATAAATGGTATGGATTATAGAGATGGAACAGTGCAGCCTACTACTACTCTTGAACCCACTCAAACTGTGCTATGAGTACGCACAGACAAACAATCTCAGAGACAGAAATACACCAGCACACATCTTTTAGTCTCACAAGACCTCTTTAAAGATGTGATTCATTTGGGTAAATGATGACAGAGCCGATAAGATCTACACCTTATTTATCACTGAAATAATACAATTATTATTCTATAACCCTCTCAGATATTCTGTAAATCTGTCTGTCTTCAAAAGACAGGATGGACCTTTGTCCACTGAAATATGAATATCTCTAACAATTGGATAAAAGTGATACTGGTTCATGAGAATTCTTAGTTTGAGTAAAAAGAAGAATATTGAAGCAATAGGGTCATTTGTGCCTGGGAGAACAGACAGCAACAAAAAAGGAAAGAATAGAAGTAGGACCTACCAATGGTGCCTTCCAACCCCCCACCCCCTTCCTTTCATAAGTATTATGGCCTTGTGGTTAGGCTCTTGGACTCGCAACCGTAAGGTCGTGGGTTCGAATACTGTCAGGGGCCCCACATTATGTCCTTGGGAAAGGCATTTTGCCTCTCTATTCAAATTTTCTTCACTTCACCCAGGTGGGAATGGGTACCCAGCTATAGACAGTGAAAGATCTTGTTAGTTTGTTAGTATTTGAGCACTTAATCAGCTGGTTACACTGTATGCTTCCAGAGAAGTTGAGAATTTTCCTCAGTGTTCTATGGACTGCTGGGGTAATAATATAGTATAAAGTGCTTACAGCTTGCTGTTGAGCGGGAATATGCGCTATACAAATGCTATTTATTATTATTATTATTATTAATTAAAGAGCAATACACCATACATCTAAGTGAAATGCCTCAGACTAAACAGAACAGCAACATCCTATACGGAAGTATTGCGACTTCGCACAATTTGCTCAGTCAAAGTTTTTAAATGAGCAACATTGTAAAAGTGCTCATACACTAAAATTCACTAACAGGATGAATACGCCAAGCTTAATATGAGGAAAGAGAAGCATTTCGGCATTAGACTGTTCATTTTGTACAGGAAAGAAAAAACCCATAAAAATAGTGGTTGGTTGGCGGGTGCTCTGGTGTGGTTTGCTTCTTCTTTCCTATCAAACATCTATCATCTTTATATCCCCTCCTTCTTTTTTGTGTTTGTTACTCTCTTGTAACACCTCTAATCTTCGGCACTTATATGACCTTATTGTGTAGCAAGTGCCATAAAAATCGTACTAAATTTTTTTTTAAAAGACAAAAATAAACAATAGAGGCAGAGGAAAAAAGTACAACCTACCAGAAGTGCCTCACACCAAAAACCACCACCCATACAACACAGTATCATAACGATAGTTTCTTCATTAGGCTCTCGGACTCGCAACCGTAAGGTCGTGGGTTCGAATCCCGTCAAGGGCCCGACGTTGTGTCCTTGGGAAAGGCACTTTACACGAATTTTCCTCACTTCACCCAGGTGGGAATGGGTATCCAGCTATAGACAGCGAAAGATCTTGTCAGTTTATAGTGTTTGAGCGCTTAATCGGCTGCTCGCACTGTATGCTTCCCGGGAAGCTGAGCATGTTTCGGAGTGTTCTATGGTCTGCTGGGGTAATAATATAGTGTAAAGCGCATAGAGCCTGCTGTTGAGCGGGGATATGCGCTATACAAATGCTATCTATTATTATTATTATTATTCAGCAGAACTTGAGGTTTGACAACACGTCAATGTGAGTGTAAGATAAGACTGTACAGAGAGGAGTTACAGCCTGCTTGTTTCACAAAAGAGCAAAATGTCAATGGAACCATGGCTGTTGATGACAGAAAAACAAGACAACTGACTTGCACAAAAAAGGGATCGAAAAAAACAAAACGAGTGACTAGTGATATCTAAGGACAACTCTTGAAGGTAGGGACACAGGAGCAGACATGGTGGTAGCAACTTAACAAAAAAAAAGCCATCCAAGATTCAAATTGAGTTGAGTGCCTTCCAAAAACCTCATCAGAGTTCCTATCTTCACAGCCATACCATGTTAACGACATTCTAGTTTCAGACAAGTGGAGGTGTTTCACAAAGCCAAAACAGGTCCTTTTTCCTACCAGAAACACAGCCCAAGTCCAAAAGAGTGCTTGATTGTTCATTCGAGACAAGGGAAAGCACTAAAACTACATAAAGAACATCACTTAAAGCACCCCCTACCAGCAACCCCCCCCCCCCGGGAAAGAAAAGCAGAAACAACAGAAGGAATAAGAAAATAAGTAGGACTCTCTGAGGTGTCATTCAGCCTCTAACAAGAAAATAAAATAAAAACAAGAATAAAAGCAACATTCTCAGTCCTACCACACAATTTCAACATGCCAAAATGCGGCGGTCCTCACAAAAGAGGCCTCTTTTCAAGTCTAAGAGAGCAGAACAATTGGGGCTACATCAGAACATACAGGAGCTTTCTCATGATACACAATTTACACACAACATCACACTGTGCCACTACTCTTGAAGGCTACCAAAACTATAACTGTCAGTTTCTCATTTTAAAAATTTCTTTATCCCCTTATCCTAGCAAAAAACAAGTAAGTTCACACAATTAGGGGCAGTGGCAACTACCCAACCACACACAAGGTCACAAACGAAAAAACAGACAGGTATGAGAGAAGTAGAATCTATCAGTAGGGCCTTCTCGTTGCCCACAATATGACAGACAGATGTATAGACAAAGAAGAGAAAATAAGAATGTAAGAAAGGCGCCCTCTAACCTCAGTAAAATTTCTGCTTGATAAATCCTCATTATATCATCTTTTAACTTAATCACGCAGATGACAAAATAGCAGTAGTTGCTAGTGTTTGTCACAACAGACAATTGACAAAAACTTGTTTGCTAGACTAGACTGCATTTTATATTTGTGATGACGGAGACACAAACAGTGGGAAATGTTATTTTCAGCAAGATCACCAAAACACAGACTATATTGATTATTTCTGTGTTAAAGGGTTACAACAACATTTACTTGTATAACAAATGTTACAGATATCATGGGGGCAGTATAGTGGTGTGGTATAATTTCTCATACAAAAGCAAGTGACAAGAGTCTTTAGTATTGTGCCTCATGCTATGAAAAACAATTGCATCAACGTACCAGGCTATCATCTATTTTTAATCTGCCAACAAAGCTTTTCAAACTTGAACTATTAACCACATGGCATTGCAATAAAGGGCAAGAGCGAGAGTTGCTGAATAAACATAAAAAACTGACATTGCTCTTCACTTTTCTTTTGCTCCTGTTTCTGCAATCAGTTCAATGTCTCTTTTCCTGCTGTTTATTAAGGTGTGTATGTAAAATCTAACAGCTATCAATGACAAGGCAGCATCCACTGAAATCCCACAACAGGTTCAAATTTTAACAGTGATGCAAACAATGACTGTATTACATAGCAAAAAGAATGACCATCTAGCACAAGTTCTAGATGATATAACAAGTACATCAAAAGTATGTGTAGTTTAAAGAACAATGATACGGTACAGATCTCAGGACAAAGATAATTAATTCAATGCTGCCTGAATTTATCTTCAAACTCAGCAAGGTGGTAACAGTACTGTCAGACAATCTCAACAGCCATGAGGTCAATATATAAAAAGCTTGATACAGTGAGAGAGACTTGATAATACTGACGAAAGCAGGCAGAAAATGCTTTTAAGCATGATGAAAACATCAAGAAGTAGAAAATCACACCAAGTTTGTTTACACATTTTCACCAAAACCCGAGTTCAGTGCAGGTTAAGAGAATTAGAGATATACAGTAGAATATGATATCTCAAACCTTTCAGAAGATATGAAAAGGTCATAAATAATGAAGCAAAATCTAATATTACAAAGTTCAAACTAAAGAGACCGGCATGATCTCTCAAATGAAAAATTTTTAATTGTAGGCATGAACATGAAAACACTTTCCATTTTCAACTTACTACATCGTAAAACTCAGACCAAAGCTTCTGGATCCCCCCCCCAATACCAAGACTAAAATGTTAAGAATCTGAAGAAATCAAGACCCCCTCTCCTTACAGTGAAACCTGCCTACAGCACAGATGACGCCACAGCTAGAGTAAGTAGAACACTGATTACATCACAGCTTAACAGAAGGGGTAGCTTGGGTTCCCACGATTCTTTCCTTGGAAAAATCGCTAGAATACTTATATCTGAGGAATGTGCATTGGCGCAAAGCGAAACAGAGTCAGAGATGCATATTGAACATTTCTAGGCTAACATAACACACAAAGAGAAGACACAAAGCATTCGTTTGAGAGAGAAAGCGAAAGTGAAACATACGATGCGACTCGGAATTTTGCTGTTTCTGAAAAGGAAAACGGAATAACAATTGTGGGAATATTGGCAAAAGAAAGCAGCAAAATGAGAAAACTACAAACTGCCTGGCTGTAGGCAAAATGACACATACATAACACAAAGCATGTCCGCTGGGAAAATTCAAAAATAGTAATACCACCGAGTTGCAAGTGTGCTGTAAATACAATCATTGCTGATCAAGTGTGTATCAGTGACAGATCATTACAAAGCATGGAGAATTTGGCATGGGAGACTGAAGAAAGTATTTCCCTCACAATTATCCATTTAATTTTTCTTTTTATTCCAAATAGCAGCTGATCCAAATGATGCAGTTTAGGCCTCCTGCGTTTTATGTGCAAGCACTGAGCGGGGAACTGAAATTAATTTATAACATTGTTATCACCACGACATACTTTTCTTGCGAGTAATAACAAACAACATGTTTGAAGTGCTGTCACAATGTAGCATGCTTACAACTTGACATGATTTTCCTTGTCAGTAATCAATGCTCGAATGAAATCCACATGATGTCGTGGCAATCAATTCTGTACAGCTGAAAAACTCTTCTACACTCCACCCCCACTTTTCTCCCTTCCACTTCCCTCTCCCCTGGAATTTTACTCTTGATCTTCTTACTCCTCTGTATCATAAGCACACAATTTGTCTTACTTTTTTTTTTAAAGTGAAAAAGACACCAACACAGAATGCAAATTATCTGAAAGACTCAGAAGCAAACAAATTAATAATTCAAAAGTCACAGTCCCATAAAAGCATGAGGTATAAAATTAATCTGTAAAGCGACGGCAAACATCTATAGAAGTGAGCACATCGAGAAACATCTACCAACGCAAAAAGATAAATATGAAAACAAAAAAGAGGAGTAAAACATACCATTAACGCTTGGAAGGCAATCTTCGTGGCTGTGCTGATGGCTTGGCAGATCTGTCAGAGAGGAAATCAGTTGTATTCAATCAGCAACTTTCTTAAAAAGTGTAACATCTAACTGGACACTAATTCCTTCCTTCAAAGTTGTTTTAAAAAATTGTCATTAATTAATACAATGGCAATACTCGCCAGTAGTTAAATAAACCAAAGGTAAAAAGACTAGGGAATTAAAAGAATTATTGATTAAAATTCAAAGCAGACAGGAATGCACAAATGGTGACTGCTTAATGTTGGACTGACAAACACCATTTTGAGAAAGCGACACATGGTCAAGTCTTACACTGAGAAGTCAATGTGTCCCCAGGGTTTGGCAGGACTTTCTCCATAATATGATGAGCGTGAAAAACCCCCCAGTTTCATTGGAGGAAAATTTCAGGGGGCAAAATGAAATCTGAGAAAGTTGAGAAACACTTTGTTCAGCTGGATATATACTTACATCTTCAGCTGTCGAGTTGCTCTCAAAAACATGGCAGGCAAAGGTGGGTACTGAATTAGAACCCTTGTCCTTGTCGTCAGGCACAGCGGGACTGGATGCTGCCGGACGGCTACGAGTGATAAAACCAAACAACCTAAAGAGAAGAAAGAGGTTGGCTGTCATCCAAATGTGCCGCCCACACTTCCACAACTAGGAAAACAGTGCAGTAGAATAGTCTCAACCAGATGTAATCAAGTGGAGTCAAATCATTTTTTTTTGGCAGACAAAAAACTGTTATATGAAGGAAACATAGCCCATGGGCATTTAGAAAGTATTTCATTAAGTGGTAACATTACACCTAAACAGCTCACTGACACCATGAGACAAGGCACTTTAGTGTAACCTACCTGTTGTTGTCTGGGTGGGCTGACCAGAAGGAGATGTCCATCAGGGCAAACTCCACCTTGACCACATTGTTGGAGGGGTCAATCAGCCTGGAAAGGAAACACACAGCGATACACAGAACATGAGTCCCCAACACCATGGAAAAAAATAATGTATTTAAAAAAAAAAGAACTTTAACAAAAACCTAGACAGGGTTCTTGATACATAGGATAGACAGTTCTTTAAACTGCTGGTCTTAACCCCAGGAAGGATGTCACAAGTTCATCACGGGACTGCTAATATTCCAATATCGGAATCTTCAAAACCTTTCCAAATTCCTAAAGAAAGGGGAAAAGGATGGCAGATATTAAAATACAAAAAAAGGATGGTTTTGTAACTGAAATTGACAAATCACTCACAACACTGGACTGAGAACAAAACAGACATATCAATCCGTAAATAAAGCAGAAAATGGTCTGTGATAGATAGGAGATAAAAATTAAAAAACTAAAGATTCAAAACTTGAGAAATATCTGAAAAGGGGCTTCCCTTAACAAAAAGGAAAAAGCACAGAAAATACAAGTTGCTCAGAAAAGAAAAGAAAATATCTCTGAATTTTAAACAGAACATATATCAATTCCCAAAGAATATCAAAAACACACGTTATGCTACCCTGGAAATACAGAGCAGAGAAATGAAGTAAAATGTGCATTCTACTCATCGGTGTGAACCACAATAACTTTAGAGAGTTTAGTGTGTCTGGAGGTGCTGGGTAATAAAAATAGATAGCATTTGTAAAGCGCAAATCCCCGCTCAACAGCAAGCTCTAAGCGCTTCACAATCTATACAATTACCCCAGCAGACCTGAGAGCATTCTGAAACAAACTCAACTTCCTGGGTAAGGGAGTGGACAGTACTGTGTGCACTATTTCAACATAGCGTGGGTGTATTTGAGTGTTTTTGCACTGGTTTTGGGCGTGAGGGGAGTGTTTGTTGAGCTAAGCCATATACAGGAGAGTCATTCCCCTTTTCAACACCCCAATAACCCAGCTAACTAGCTACCTCATTCCCTCGCTGGACACAATCATGAGTGACTCGGTCATCTTGAAGATGTTATGGATGGCTCGGGCAGCCATGATTTGACGGATGGTGGAGTGGACGAGCTGCTCTCCTGGGGGCAACAGACAACATAATGTGAGCATGTGAGACAAGGAAAATCGCTTCTCGTTATGGAAACATTTTTTACGCAAAAAATATACCTCTGACAAAAGAAAAGTGAAAAAAATCATAAAGTTAGTGAAGTTTGATCATTTCAAGGAAATGCTTGAGATTTATACTTTGAAATTCAGAAACATCAAACTTTATCTGAACAGAACACCAATGAAATGCCTTCATACTCCCAAGATTTCTTGTGTCAAACTGGGTATGTTGAAAAAGCCTCAGAAAGAACTACATGCTTATCACAATAAGAAAATAGATCACTTTCATCAAAGTGAAATCTCCTGTTCACTGATCTTTACAGGGACCAACAGAATAAAAGGAAAAAAGAAGTGGTTATTCTCTACTAAAGGACAAAAAATGTCTGAAAGCGAGATATGTGACCTCAACTGAGTCCACTGGGAACAGAAGGCAGAAGCTCATGACTAGTGGAAAAGGAAAGTCAAGACCAGTTATAAGATGGAAGAGAAGGACATAGAAGGAAGGACATATGTGTAGTAACTAAAGAAACAGAAGACTGTGCTACAGTACAAAACCTTAATCGTTTCCTTGCTCTCACTGCCACTAATCTTTTCTAGAAGGAGGTAAAATTCTGACCAATGCAGTACTAAAGCTACCATCTTCTGTGATGGAACAGTGCTCCCAAGTGCCTCTTCTACTCTATACAGCATCTAGGAGCAGTACCTCTGTCCCCCTTAACTTCCATGGAGCCCAAGAATCTTGTCGTAAACGTCTCAGAAAAGGCCGCATTGTCAAAAGCTGGGTTGAGGACGATGGCTGACGACTGGTCAAATGGATTGAGTCTCCTGGGGAAGGGGTGGGGGTGGGGGGAATAGAGTGAGGTGAGAAACAATGAGAACGATAATGCAGAAAAAGCATGAGTAAACATGACATGACTCTCTTGGTCAGTCAGACAGACAGTCATAAGTGACATTCATTCATCATTCACTTATTCATTCATAACTTGTACCTCTACATGATGTGAATATGGAAAAACAACATATCAGAATGACTATTAGACATTAACAGACAGCTATTATCCTTAATATTATTATTACCGAATGACTGATAGAACCACAGACAGAGGAAGAAAACAGAAAGACAAGACAAATGACAGTGGAGAAGTTGCCAAAAGCTGAGAGTTCACACAACATGGGAGGGAGTAATCAAAAGAGCAAGAGATAGAGTTTTCTATCTGAAAGGGAAGCAAAAACCAAGGCAAAATAAACTACGACATATCCTGCCTCCCTCCCACACACATTATACACACACGCATTTCACAGGCAGAAACATGCATGCCCGTGTCATGAGTAGGAGAGTTAAGCATAACAATAAACAGCATTTATATAGTGTTCTATCCATTTAGGAAACAAGCTCTGAGTGCTGAGGAAGAATGACGATGGCATATCAGTGCAACATCTCTGCTGACCATTTGTTGTCTATTGGTGTTTGAGTTTGAGTCTGAGAAAAGAGAAGCACATCTACAAAATAATGGAAATTTAATGCAGGGAAAAAGTAAGACAGACAGACAGACAGAAACAACACAGGGAAAGTAAAGAAGTAGGACCTACCAGCGGCGCCGCCTCCAACCATCTGCGTCTACTGGTGTCATACTACTCCTCTAAATAAGGAAGTGAAAACTAGTCTAACCCACTGACGAGGCATTAAGGTCAGACCACTTGATTGCGACATTTTAACAGGACACATTAGGATTTATTGTAACACTGAAAAGAAGTAGAAGGAGCAGACCATATCAAGGCACTCAAAAACCTCCTGCACATGACAATGGTGAAGACACTACTCCATGAAATAGTGACCTGCTACACAGCAAACAGAGACCATGCGGGTGAGTCAACAACTAGAGCACTCACAACTAAAATGATTTGTTCTCACATCCATGTACACACACAAACACACATAAACACACACACACAAACACACATAAACACACACACACCATCCAGAGAGACCATGCAAGTCTTATCATTATTATACTTTCTACATCTACAAATAATTTATAGTTCTAACATTTGTGGTAAACTGATAGGCATAATAAAATAAAAATATAAAATGGAAAAATACACACACATTCTAAGGAAAACCATACACACATACGTTTAAAAATTGAAAAACACTTCTTAAAAAAATCACCACTATATTAAACTAACACTGCAAATAAAAAATAAAAAATGAATCAACAAGAAGTGCTATGAACCCCATGCTTCCCCCTTCTATTATATAAAAGAGTAAATACCCTCAAGGGTACTCTGCACACATTTAAATAATTGTGCCTTTCACATTTTACTCGACAGATCTTTAAAAGATCATATAGATTGAAAATACCCAAGTCCATCAAAACTTTTCTCTCTGACCTTAACAGAAAAATAGTATTCTCATTGAAATGTGCAGAACAGTAAAAAAAATAGTACTGTAAAGTACACAAGGTAGATTTATGTCTCACACGTAGTAGTTTGTCCAATAAATTGTTTTGGACTACAGTGAAAATGAAAATATCGATTAATATAGAGCTATGAGGTAAGGTGCATAACAAGACCAACTTCTTACTACAGGAAAAAGTTGGTGTATGTACAACCCACTCATTAACACCCAGGTATACTTCTCCAGCAGCGACCCCGCCCACCCTTTTTTTACTAACTTTGGTGGGCCTGACTGAGGAGATGTGACTGCCCTGCTTTCTTCACTGGGAGAAACCAAATCAAACTGGATAGGGGTGTCCAGCACTAAGGTGTCGGTAGCCCCTGAGGACGACAGGCTGGACAGACTGGCTTGGCTGGAGCTGTCCATAGCACACGAGAAGGAGAATCGTTCACATACACAGGGGACAACTTAGAATCAGGCTAAAAATAACTTTGATTAAGATCACGCCGAGAAGTGTTTCCCAAACTTTTAAAAATCAGACCAAAAAGTCCTGATCAAAAATGAAAACCCCATCACATGTGCCACTTTCAAAACAGTGAACAAACATAAGAGTCACTAACTCTTTTCCGTCTCATTACAAAATTTACATCACAGGGTCTCCTAAAATAAGACAAATACATTTTGCCCGTTGGAAAATTCCAATTTAATCTACATAAATATGCAAAAAGAAATTTAATCTGCACACCCTTCCTTCATGCTGACCTGTCAGATACTGGCTGTCAACAGAAGATTCTGCCAAGATAACTAGTATTTGAGCATTTGCCAAAACATGGGGAAAAAATTTGCACTAAAAATAAAACTAGTAGCAAAATGAGTTTTCAAGATTCCTAAATCTTTTTTCAAATGTGGATTGAAAAATAAGTAACAAATCACCATCAGCTACACTGTAGAATTTGGCTGACACCATATCTTGCATATGAACCATATTGTCCAAAATATCAGTGTTTTTAATTTTTAGTGGAGGGTCATTCAAGGCATACTGAAATGAACATTAAATGAATTCATATAAATCCAATATTTATAAAACACTTCCCTTTGGGGACTTAATGAATACATCAAATTTTCATTAATCGAACTTAATTTTGTAAAATTTTAAGCTTGCCTTTGTTTAAGAGACCTCAAAGTTGATCGACTGGAACGTTCTTAGTCTCATCATTTACTTTATATGCTTAAACATTCATTTTCTTCATTTGAAACAGACGAAACTCGCATATTTGCCCATAAATACCATGGAAAAACCTCTCCTACACAAGAAATATGTGCATAAGCACCAGATTATACAGTGCTGTGACAATTCCATTGGTATCTACTTTAAGTCACAAAACGTAATGATTGTGCTCATCTGTGGTTTTTATGAAACCGCATGAATGTCTTTTGACATCCAAAAAGATAATGCATGCTTACATTTTCACATGTCAGTTTTTCATTTAGTCATACATGAAATCCATGATTTTTTTTTTTTACTCACGAGATGCTTTCGAGACAAAAGCAGCGAGGCTATTTTTTTGCGTGTTATCATTATGTACGAGACAAACTTTAAATACCGTTATGTATAATTTTTCAAAATGTTCAAAGTACTGCATAATATGTAACCTAAACCTCATAACAATGGTATTTGGACCCATCTCCGGTTGAAATTTAGAAAAACATCTTATTTTTCAAAGTAACTAACACTTACTAAAGTATTTGATGCCTCCTGTCTTATACATAACTATGACGACATAATATCCAGTTTAAAAAAATACAAAACACCATTTTATTAATCATTTCTGCTTCTGAGTGTTTGTTAATATGAATGCACCTGGTTCTAGCAATAAAAGTGAAACTTTATTGTGCTATTCTTAATTCTTTTTTTTTTAAAATAATGTTTGTCAACACAGTTATAGATAAGTCAATTAACATTTCAACAACAGACACTGTCATATCTCAGAAACTGTTTGGTTACCCTACTTTCTGACATTTAATGACTGTAAAAAACACATTAGGTATACATGCATGGAAAAAATACTACGTCAAATTGATCAACATTATTTTTGGCATCCGTGACCCTCATGAGACTCCCATCTTTTGGCAATTGCTCATATAAGAAAGTTAAAAGATAAATCATTTCAAAGTCTCTTGTCAAAAAGTTAAATGTTCTGCAGTGTCTGACAAAATTAATCCTTTTGGTTACAAGGGCTGCTTGCAATACAAGTGAGATGCTACATGAGGCTCTGTGAGGGAAGGAACGGCTTTCTCAGAGATATTATATTAGCAAATCCGTTCTCTGCCATGCAGAAAAATGGGAAAAAAAATGCAATTTAGTATGTTGGTTTCAAATACAAGCATCAACAAACAACATTTTGGAACCAGTCATTGAAAAGGGCTACAAATTTAGGTTTGTTGAGTAAAGCTGTTGAAATCTCAACCCCAAGTCATCTCTTGTTTGGTATCTTAAATCTTAGAAACTTGTTAAGATTTCTATCTAACAATATTTTGACCTTGCAAACTTCATAGCACCCTGTACATTTCTGCGTTTGATCATTTATTTTTTTCTTAGAAAGACATTCAGTCACCTTGCTACCTCAAATTAGAACTTGACAATGGGTTTGGGAAACACAGACATAGTGTACTTTGTCAATGGTATTGCAAGCCATTTGCACATATATCTGACTGAAATTGAAACAGCTCATTTCTCTTCCTATCTACTGGTTCATCTTTATAAACAACCAGTTGCATTATTCATAAACTGTATTCTGCCAAAGCAAATTTCTAAGAAACATGCAAGAAGAAAGTAATTTTTAGACTTGCAATCTGTAAATGTGACCTGATGGGTCCTTTTATGTCAACTATATAGCTATTTAAAAAAAAATGAGGGATGTATCAGATATCTGGTAACAATAGATTAGTGCAAATAAACTTGCAATCCCAACAACAAGAGGAACAAACTTCAACTTCAAAACAATTTAACATCGAAGAAAAAAATTGTACTAAAACAAATGCATTCAATCAAGGCTTCACTCACAGAAAATAATATAAAATTACTAGTGACAGAGAGAGCACAAACTTTGAAGAGCAATAACACAACAGAAAAGTCTCTTGAAACAAAGATTTTTTAAACAACAAAGATTAAAAATAAACAATGAATGGAAACTTTAAAGTGCTACTAAAAACACCTGAAGGGAACAAAATGTTTTATAATCAAATTCAAATGATAGTAACCGGCGTGAGCTAGATTAACAAGATCACTACACAAAAAAAGCAAGATGAACTTCACAAGAATTGAGAGAAACAAAGAGAGACACAGGCTCAGAGACAAAACAGTTCCATCTACAACTAGCATGTATTGCAGTTGGAACGTTTTCCCCCTCTGGGGGTCTGGACAAGCCATCATTGCTTACGCTATGGGGCTAGGCAGAGGCCCCCCTGAGGCAGCGCTGTCCGACGACTGGCTGTGGCTCATCTGCTGGGGCGGGTCCTACCAAACAAGAATAGAATAGAAAGAAAGAAAAGAAAAGGTATGAATGTGAGACGGGCTGACAAAATGAGTAACCTCTTGCAATCCATGAATGGAGATATCAGGTGAAAACTGACACTGGGGTCAAATTTATAGATTTTCAACCAGTACCATTTTTTCCCCCAAGTTGAACAGGTCTTTTCATTATTCAATACAAACAAATTGAACAAACTCAAACTAAAATTAACCAATTTATTTCCACAGCACTAAAATTAGAAAAGTAACTTCTTTTGTCAGCAGGCTTTCCACACAATACCTTTAAGTTACACTTTAACAAACAGAGAAATAGGTCCACTGAACCATAATTCAGTTATGAAATAGACTAGTGGTGTCTGCTGCGTAATGGTTGGTGTCTTCAGCTCCGATGCAATGGACTTCAGTTTGATGCCTATGTGAGAAAGACATTTTATTGAGTGTCTTACTCTTTCAGCTGCGGTGTACCAGGCACTGCCTGAGTTGACAGCTAGCATCAAAGCCGCCAACTTAAAAAATTATCTTAATCTCAATTTCCGTCATGACAGGAGAACAAAAATATTTGTGTGGCATCGTGGTAAAATAAGGCACATGTCAAAATAATGGAATCGAAGAAACCAACATTTTTCCACCTGTTAAGCAATTTTTATGGAATTGTTTTGGAGGTGGCCCAGCATCTTTTATGCACACTTAAATACACATTAATTCTGCATCGATCAAAGACACAAAAAATCTAAATTTGCAATTTCCAAGGACACTCAAACTTTGGCTGTTTTCTCGCTAATTTTACCTCTTACACTAGGCGATCCCACCTCCTTCAATTGCAGATACCTCGACTTCAGTTCAAGATAAATAAGTAATTTTTTTCATCAAAAGCAAGACAAATGAATTAGCTTTAAGATTATACCGTTAACTCCATATGCCTAAATACTGACAAGCCTCTGATTCCCCCATGTCATGACATAATTGATTGATAAATTAGGTACCTAAATTGTAAGAGGACATATATATTGAAGACACATTTGTAATTATAAAATTTTGACCACCAGTCACAAAAATATTAATATTACCTTTTTCTTGACAGATGCTGGTTTGCCACGGACATATCCTCCATCCCGAACAACGTTGTTTAACGTCGCAATCCACTGAAACACATTTACATCATCATAGACATTTTTATTTTTACATGTGACATGACTGTTCTGAGATTAAAACACTCGTTTCGCTAAACAAACAAATACATTAAAAAATTGAACATTTTTATTGCCTGGACTTTGTTTTACTGAAAACAAATAAGTATATGAATATAAAATAGGATGGGCATATCATTTGACCTAATTTACATTGAATAGATTCTTTTGACATGATATTATTTGCAACTATACTTATCCTAATCTGAACTAGGTGAATGGTTGTCATTATTACACTAGCAATGAAAATCAAATTTAAAAACACACTATTGCTCCATATACCCATCGATGGGTTAATTCATTCCCTCAGTATAGGAGGGGGAGGGAGGTGGGCACTCACCTCATCTCTTTCTCTATAGTTTTCAGCTTGCAGAATAACAGTCCTGGGAAGAGAAAAAGCATCTTGCTTTTTTTTTCCAAAGATACATAAAGAGCATTTTATGTCTCACCCAAAAAAATAAAAAAATCATCATTATTTTCAAGGCTACAAATTATGTACCACTGGTGTGAAATTACAGTGCATACTTTCAAATCAAATACTTTAAACTAAAACTTTTTACAAAACGATTTCTTTACAGTAGCCAATTAGCCAATTTAAAAAACTGCCTATATCAAACTTTCATCAATGCTCATTTTTCTTTGGTTTGAAGATCTTCTTCAACCTTGTGTCCTTTGTACCAATGGCATCAGTAGCAGTGTGGGTTATTAATGAAAAGCTTATTTTACAATAGTAATAAATATGATCTGAGCCCTTTCAAGATCTACCGACACTTGGCGACTATTTTAGCGCATGTTTTTTGCTCCCAGATTAAAACTATGTGTCTACAATACACAGAGCAGTAGAATAATCCTAGACTGGAAATCAAAAGCAGCAGCACTATAGCCAAGGCCACCACTCTTCAGCTCACATCGAGGAAATGTTCCCTTCTAAGACATAACATACGTCAGCAATTCATACTAATGACAATAGACAAAGTGTTTAATTAAACAGAGAAACAAAACCAACTATGGCCACTGCTATAGCAAGCGACATTACTTTTTATTGTGAGGAGAAATCAGCTGGAAGGTGTGCCTCCTGTCGTCAGCCACGCAAGACTCCACAACCACTCCCTCCTCGTTCAGGTCCATCACCAAACTGCCAGCAAACTGCAGACAATACAGCAAAAAGAAAAAGACATTACAGTTACTCTCAAACTCAAATTCACCCCCATCAATACTAAAATAAAGATGTAAACATCATCTCACATTGTAAATAGATACACAAATACATAAATATTAATAAACATGAAATGTGGGAAGATTAAATCAGAAATGTAAAATGCAATCAAAGCCAAGAACCCTCAGCAGTGTCTTCTAAAGTAAAAGACCCTTATTCAGCGGCAAATTCTTTGAAGAACAAAACAGAACGAAATGAACATGACTGATAATATAATCGAAAATACAATATTAATGACTTAACTGTTTATTACTAAAAGTTTGCTGCTTGAGAAAATAACATTTAAAAAGACCGAGAACCTCCCCCACGCACAAACACAACATTAGAAAACCCACGAGCTTACTGTTTACCCCATTGCAGGACCTCCTCCACTTCCTACACTTAGCTACAAGATCATTATCTCATCACTGGCACATTCTCACATTTACAAAGCTTTTTCAAACAAAAATAGAGAATTTCAACAAAAGATCAAAACAGGATCGGTATAATATGACACTGAAAGTAAAATAAAAAACGTGTATTTTTACAGTAATGTGATAAATTACTAACTCCTTCACTATACAGCATATAAAATTATAAAAAAACCTCATAGTGAATGAGTTAACTGACAAAATTAACAGCAAGTAAAAGCTCACAATGTTTTCATGTTTAAAGCCATTGCTGTGGTCATAAAACTTCCTGTTCTACTCAACAATACTGAGTAAAGTAACAAAAAAAAACCCCAACAACAACAAACAAACTAAAATAACACTACCCCTTTATTTCTAAAACTAATTAGAAATAAGTATCAGAAAAATGAAAACTTCAAATAGTATTTGTAAACAGTGGTAATACCATACTCCTACAACAGACATAAAAAAACCTAAACAAACAACATAAAACAGAAGCTTTTCTCAGTTTTCACATGAAAAGTGTTAGAGCATCACATCAGAAAACTGAGTGACCCCTATCGATTCCTAATGAATACAACTGTTTCCACGCTCATATAAAGTTATGTGCTTACTGATGTGACACAAAGTATGCTCAATGGCGTCCTATCTCTTGGTAAAAAAAATCCAATCTCAAGAAACCATAGCTAGGTCCCCTACCCTTGTCATACAACTTCAAGCAGCACGACCTGAACATATGAGCAAGATGGCGGAGGGAGGGTGAAAATAAATCACACTGTAAATTGTAATTGTAAATCTTTTACGTCCCCATCCAAACAATTTAGGTCATCTAAAAGGTGGGCGGCTAGACCTTTCCTGTCGGGCCCATCCTGAAATGAGAGGGATACAATAGTAACAATAGCCAGGCAGACAGATGGAGATCTTTTTAAAAATTTATATCCACACAGGAATTGAACTCATGTCTTCTTCATATGACAGCCTAGGACCTAACCCCTGAAGCACAGATGCCTGTTATGTATCACAAAGACGTTGAAAAACTAGTTAGTGTATTGTTTAACAGTGCTATCAACAAAGTTTGGTCAGATAAGCACCATGACGGGATATGGTTTCTAAAAATCAAAAGTAACAAAACACACAGGAGGAAACTTGTTGATAAAACCACAGGAAAAAACCTTGGGAGTCAAATTCACTTCTATAAAAAAAAATGTTTTTAATTTTTCAAAGCCAAAAAAGATTATGCCTACAAAACCTTGTGACGAGTACCACTGTTCACTCTCATATCACTTATGTTCAGTATGAGGTGACATGAAATGAAATTGTAAAGGTGAATAACTGTAATTCTGTGCACTCTTACTCCTGGACAAAAGCAGCTGGAGGAGCAGGAGGTACTGGTGAGGCTGACGGTAAAAGAGCTTGAGGGCACAAACTTCAGCATTGCTCCATATTAAAATATGTCTACAAATCAAAGACATATTTAAAAGGCTTAAAAGTTTATAAATTTGAGGGTGGGAGGGAAAGCGGAAGGGAGCAGGGGTAAGATTGACTTATGAAGAAAATTATCTGGGTGGAAGACATTTGCAAGACGCTTCCATCAGTTTTGTCCAAACTTGATCAACTCCCCAGCTCCAGAACAAAAGACAATAAAAACCAAATTCAAAATACAAAACTTTTTAGAAGAATTCTTGAACTAAAAAAAAATTAACACAAGTAAATTTCTTTTTATTGTGAAAGTGAAAGAGCTTCCTCAAGAAAAACCATCAAACGAGCGAGCTGCAGTCCTCATCAAAACACGTCTTCATAAAAAACATTCAATACGGTTGGAAGAGCATCACAAACAGATGGGACAAACTTGTAAAGGCATTATAAGTGAAACTGAAAAAAAAGGGAGCAGGAGCAATGCAAAACCTCAGAAGAGGCTAGACCTCAAAGCGGGCATATATACCACTTATTGCTATTCTTAAACAATTTTCTCATTTGTTTTCAGTTTAATAAGTGTGGGAGTTGAAAGCAAAAAACACCTAAAAGAGATTTTACAAATTGCTGTAGACGTCATCACAAAGACACTGGGAAACTGGGAGGGGGGGGTTAATAGGTTTCAGTTCAGAACTGGGGTCAGTCCTTTGTCAGTAAACAAAAGAGTCAAAACAGGTTTCACCTCGCTAAGCCAACCCCAAGACCCAACAACATGCACACAGGGAATTTTAAGTCTAATTATTAATCTATTGATCCTCAACTACTACAAACTTTTAAAACAATTCTTTTAGCATGTCATACTACACTGTATCTTCTGTATACTCATTTCTTTTTTAAAGAGAAAATGACTTGGAACAATGAGGGGGATTTAGGGGAAAAAAAAAAAAGGTAAGGATAAAGCAGATGATGGATTTCAACTGGTTGTCAATTGTTGTCTCCCTCTACTCACATCTGGTTTCTTAAACACCTGAAGGTTCAGGAAAACACATGTAATGAGAGTGGCCCTAAGTGTAGGGGGGAAATTTTCAGTACTACACCACTTTCAATGCAACACATTTTAGTAATAAAAGACACCTTTGACGGTACATCCATCTCAATTTAAAGATAGTGTGGAAAACCTTCAAGGACCCGTTGTATAACAAAAACAAATCTTTAAATTGTGATATGTACAAACCAAATGTTTAGAAATATCAAGCTGGTGCTTGACATTTCAACTAGAAAAATTTACGTCTAGCCAAAATTTGATTAATTTTCATGCTTTTGATATGGCAGTTGGCAACATGGTACACAGACCTAGTCCAGTCTTTACTTCTCCCATCACGAAACAGTTTTTACTCATTAAAAATTTAATATTGACTACTTAAGCGTAAGACTCTGTCATACGTCACTTTTCAAAATGACATGGCAGTCTTACACCAAGCAGTCAATATGTTCTAATTTATCACTTTTTCAACAAAGGTGTGACTGCTCCAAAAACTTTGTATAGTCGTGGCTCAGGAACAGGCTCACATCTGGGTTAAGTTAAGTACAGCCCTGTGTCCTGTCAGCTGATCTAATTGTATGCTGGTGAGAAGCACAGCTGTCACCTCTTCGCTCAGCAGACAAGAGGGTTCAGAGTGCGCAGTTATCTTCAAATGCCTTTTGTGTCAAACAAAAAACTTGTTGATATTATATAATTGAAATCAATGAAAAACAAACTGAGGCTAGATTGATTATTATTTGTTCTAAATCCGTATTAGACTTGCATTCTAAAATCTGTTAAGCTATCTCTGTGACTTCTTTTAAGATTCATTTATTCATTCAATCTGCCATCCAGTATTTGTGTGAGTGTGTGTGTGTGTGTGTGTGTGTGTTTGTGCGTGTGTGTTTGTGTGTGTGAGCATGTAGGTATAATGTATGTGTGTGTAAATTGCATTTTGATTCAGGAAGATAGACATAAATGAGTGTGGATATGAGTATGAACGGATATTTTGTTACCATGAGTTTCAAGATCCCAATCAGTGTCCGCATCTATACCAAAAGAAGGGCAAAAGAACAAAAGGGACCTAATATAGCAAGCATAAAGGCGACTGTAGAGAGATGTTTTGACCTGAGCAACTCTACAACAAAAGGGCACAACACTACAGTCCAAACACTGGAGCACAGGGTGTGTGCATGGGTGTGTGCATATGTCAGTAGGGTGCGTTTGTGTATATTAGTATGTACATGCCAATGTTTTTATGTATACAAGTGTCTGTGTGAGTGTGTGCATATTAGTGTATGTGTGTGTGTGTGTGTGTGTGTGTGTATGTGTGTGCGCATGTGAAATCACTTGCAGCGTATTGAGTGCAGGAATTCTTTACAAATTAACATATGACAACACAAATCTTCAAAAGACAAGGAAAAATCAACATGTTAATAACTGGTCAACTAAATAAAAAGTGTTTATTACATCAGGCAGAATCAGGTCTGAGTCTGTCTCTTCACTTCACACATTGATATGTGAATTTAGCAATCCATTTCAGTGCTGCATTCATTTTCGCTCTAGAGACAACATTAATTTCTTCAGTCTTTGAAGTTCAGCCTTATGTTCCAAGATCAAACATTACAAAAAATATTTCAGTCTGACCAAATTTGCACCTATATCGCTGAAACAATCTTTCTTTACGTCTTTCTTGACCGCCACGAATAGATAAATCTTTAGAATATCATGCCAACTTACCTCCTCCTTCGTCTGGCTCATGAGGTTCCCACCCTGAGTGAAGAAATACATACGGTCCCACTTGGTAGAAAGCAGGACTTGTTTCCTGAAACAGCAAAACATCAACTCTTGTGAAATCTTTCTTCATAAAGCAGCATCGGTAGTATAGTGGTAAGGCTACCGGATTCATAATTGTGAGGTTGGGGGTTCGGGGGTTTGAGCCTCAGGTCCGACGTTATATCCTTGTGAAAGGCATTTTACACAAATTTTCCTTGCTTCACCCTGGTGGGACTGAGTACCCGGCCATAGACGGCGAAAGATCTGGTCGGTATGTTAGGGTTTCAGCGCCTATAAAATGGCACCTTGCATTGTTCGCTTCCCATGAAGTTGATATTATTTCAGAATGCTATCAGCTCTGCTGGGTAATAATGTAGATTGTAAAGTGCACAGAACTTGCTGTTGAGCAGTAAGTTGAGTTATACAAATGTTTTCTTTTTAGTTTTAGTAAGAGTTTTACGGAACTTGCAACACAATAAGGTCATATAAGTGCCAAAGATTAGAGGTGTTGCAAGAGAGTAACAAACACAAAAAAGGAGGAGGGTAGATAGAGGCATTAGATTTTTTATAGGAAAGAAGGAGCAAACCACGCCAGAGCATCCGCCAACCACCCATCAAATGATTTCAGCATTCATTGTGATTTTTAAAAATATAAATAATAATAATAATAATAATTATTATTATTATATCAGTAGGCAATAGGCACTGTTCAGTGATGACAGACGGTGGCGTTTGTGCTCTTTCAGCACATTAAAAAAAATATCCTGTGTTGAAGGAGCTGTAGTTAATCAAATTAAGCCAGTCGGTAAGAAACAGTGTTGTTTGCTGTGAGAACAATGAAATGAATAATGATAAACTATCAGGAAGGCAACGAAATCCAACTTTTTATATGTTTGTTTTAATATGAGTTTTATAGCACTTGCAACACAATTAGGTCATATAAATGCGGAAGATTAGGGGTATTATAAGAGAGAAACAAACACAAAAAAGAACGAGGAGAGATCAGGACAATAGATGCTAGTTAAGAAAGAAAGAGTAAACTACACAAGAGCATCCATCAACCACCAACTCAACCTTTTAAAACAAATGGAATGGGCATATATTCTTGAGATATTAAGAAAGGAAGATTTTGTGCAAGTCAAAAGGAAGAGAAACTGGGTCAAGGCAGAAATGAAAAAGCTAAGGCTAAAAATTTTTTTACAGAACAAACAACTTCACCTGCTCAAAGTCAGTAACAGCCCTTAAATCACATAGCAATCTCAAACTGAAGATACTATATAAGTAGCTCTCCATAATGATCAAAATCAAATTTTAAAAAAATCCTGTGCTCAGATTGAAACCACTAATTACCATCTCTTCATAGCATCACATAAAAACAAGAAGACCAAAATATAGAGACACTAGTCTTTGCGCATAGAGCTAGCATTACAATTAACTATTCATTCATAATATCATCAGTTTCAAAAGTACAGAAATCCAGGTTCAGGCAAACTGAGAATTTTCAACGTTTTGGCAAAGCATATCAATGAAATCTCAGCAAAAAGTACACGAAATCTAACTTCTGCTTTAGTTTTAGTAAGTGTTTTACGGCTCTTGCAACACAATAAGGTCATATAAGTGCCGAAGATTAGAGGAGTTACAAGAGAGTAACAAACTTAAAAAAAAGAAGGAGGGGAGATCAGGACGAAAGAGGCTTGATAGGAAACAGTGCTTCCACCAGCTGAAGCTGAAAAGTAAGGAAAATTCTGCCAGGGGTCCCGGTGGGGGTTCAGGGGCCGAAGACAGACAGACGGAATGAGTGAATGATAGAAAGGAGGAAATTGGCACAAAAAGTTCGCCAGATTTTTATCAATCCACAGGTTAAAATGTACTGCCGACAAGCCCGAAATGAATGCATGGGGCATAGTGGAATAATGGCCAATTGCAGGAAATGCGCAATCAGGCAGGTTTCTATAACATTAACTTATTGCCGAGAGAATTACCGTAAATATCCGTAACTTATACTAGTACTAGACGATACGAAG